CACAACAAGACCATACAATTGATCATTTTGGAGTACATAAATACCTTCCCTCACCACACCCTCACAAATCACCTTCCTACTCTACAGATCCTTCATAACATAACCATGAGGAGTAAACTCAAAACTGCACATAAAATCTTTAGTAAATTGAGATATGGATATGAGTTGTTTCTTTAGTTTGGGCACAAATAAGACATTTTGAATATTTAAGGAACTAAATGAAGTAGAAATAGAGACAGTTCCAATATGAGTTATGAGCAAGGCAGTGTCATCTCAAGTGAATATCATGCAAGAGCCACGATAAGGAATCATAACTCGAAGTTGGGAGTTGTCATATGTCATATGAGCAAATTGCACCAGTGTCTATAATCCAAGAACAGTTGGTTCGCATAGTAACTGATAAGTTGCTAAAGTTGTGGATTAGGGCACTGTGAAATGATGAAGCACCTTTAATATCCCAACAGTTCTTCACAAATGTACCATTATCGTCCACAATATTGACATGTTACACGGGATTGCATACCCACCCTTGGATGCTAAAGTTGTTGAACCTTTTGATTAGGTGGATTGGTTCCAAAAATACCTTGTTGACTCTGATTGCAACCTCTAGGTACCCTACCTCCAAACCGACCACATCCTCAACCATAGCCCCCTTTTTGCCATTTGGACATATTGACAAGAGCTTGAGGACTATTTGCATCAATTTGTGAAGTTACAAATCAAGCTTCATATGTAAGAAGCGAGGATCGAAGCTCAGGAAAAGTTGGAAAGGGAGGCTTAGTCAATAGAGAGGTCTCAAAAGACTTAAATGTTGGATAAAGACCTTTGAGTGTATAAAGAACCATATCTTGATCATTCACTGGACTACCAATTGCTACAACATGGTCACATATGGTTTTGAACTTGTTTAAGTGTTCAGTCACTGATTGAGATCCTCTTTGTAGATTGATCAATTCAGTCTTGAGTTGAAGGACATTAGCAAAAGTTTCTCTTTAATATGTATTACATAGAGTCTCCCAGACTTCTTACGATGTCTTCAAGTGCATTACCTCAGTAAGTAAGTCATCCAAAAGAGTAGACAGTAAACAACTCAATAATATTTTGTCTTTCATTCGTCATTCTAAAGCTTTAGGATTAATTTCTCTATTGGTGGGATCCTTTGGCAATTTAGAGTTATTATCCTCATTTTCATTTGGTTCTTCAAGAATATACTCACTTTACGATCGACTAGACCCATCAAGATGACCTTCAAGGTTTAAACCTTTAATACAATATAAGACTTGGGCCTTCCATTTGAGGTAGTTATCTCTAGTCAGTTTAATAGATATAAAGATAGAAAATTTAGTGAGGCCATGTCTTAGAATGACGCTTTGGAAGATATCTGAAATTACTTTGGCATTAGAAACAATTTTCAGAAACTACTTCAGAACCGAAAGCCACTTCCAAATCCAAAATCCAGAAATTAGAAAACCAAAGTACTGTTGGACCCTTCAAGAATTACTTCGGTATCTATAGAGCCGAAGTTTGTTGGGTGATCGGTACGATTGTAGTCGAAGTTCCTTTAGAGCTACTAAAGATGATGAGAGAGAGAGAGAGAGAGAGAGAGAGAGCACAGGTAAGGTGAAAGAAGTGAAAGACAAAGTAAGGTGAAGGAAAACACTAGCACCAGTTTCTTGGAGAAATAGGAATAGCCACGGTAAGAAGACAATATTCACCTTTTTTAAAAAGAAGACAAACACCTCCAACTTTTATCAAGGAGAGAGCTTGACGTTTTGAGATGAAAGATACATAGGAAGAAGAAAATGAGGTAAAGAGGGGAATTTTGATGAGAGAGAAAAGAAGGTGTTAGATGAGAGGGAGTAAGTAAAAAAAGATGAACGGTGATTGTAATAGTAAGGGAGAGAAACAATGGCAGATCTCAAGAATTTTAGAGAAGGGGGACAATGACCATGATATTGGTTAGAGAAGGGGACAATGGCAATCTCAAGGAGGAGACAATCGAAGGAGATAGAGATTACATACAATTAGAAATGGTGATGAGATGAGAGATCGCACTTACAGATTATGCTGATGAGAAACGATGGACAAGGTTGAACCACGCTCTGATACCATGTTATAACTGAAAACCTAGGTTGGGTTCTTTGAGAGAGAAAGAAAAAGAATAGACACTTGCACTTCATACGAATCACTTATCCTCTATATTTACATTGAAAGAATATATATATGTTGCAAAAGAATTAAGAGACTATATTGACATTTGAGTAGAGACATGACACTATCTCTTATTTAACACGCCACATAAGGGCTACATCCATGGACACGGCAAACTGAAATACATTATACCGATAAAAGTTTCATAAAATATTTTGGAACAGACCTCGACAAAACCACAGTCAAGTAAACCCTTTTAAACCCGCTCTGTCAAATGGCACCACTGCCAATCTCTCATCTCTAATGCATAACTAAACCATTGTCTAGAAAAATAACTTTGAAAGTAAACGAGACTTTATCTCACTAAAAAGGGAACAACCCAAAATCTATATGGGAACCACTTCTCTACAAGAACACTCAATCTCCAGGAACAAGCCTCTCAATGTCAATAGTCTACAGGTAACATCATCACAATGTTTCTCTCTATAGGAAGCTCTCTTCTTTCTAAGAAGAAACCTTGCATCTTATGCACAGGAGGCCTTGTCCCCCTCTCTCTAGAGAGGAAACCACCTTTCCTATATGGTAACCTAAATAAGACACACAAATTCTCTGCATTTTATTCACATAAATATAAAATTAGGAATCCATACAAAATAGGAAATTTCCTATGGATGTTATATATATCTCAAATGACCAAGAAATATATCCATCCAAGAGTTCTATTCTTTTTGGATTTCTATTTTCTTTAGGAAACTAATTAAATATCGATATCAATCTCACATAATAAGGAGATATATTAATCTCACATAATATGGGAATTATCTCAATCCTACGTAATATATGAATATCTCAATCCTACATAATGTGGGAAATATCTCAATCCCACATAATATGAGAATATCTTAATCCCACATAATATGCAATTTCGTTATGCGGGTGATTTTGGATAGCACTGAATCCAACAATCTCCACCTTGATATCAAAATCCCCTGCTCATTATGTCAACATCAAATGGATAGCTTCATAAATTTTTTATCTTTTTCCACATAAATTTCTTCATCATTCTTGCTAAAAAAAATAATAATTTCCATTAAATTTCTCCACTCCAAACCTTGCATTCAAAACATCTACTGCCATATCGAAAACCTCAAAACCAGGTTCTAATATCACTTGTTGTGGGCAGAAGCTCTAAACCCAATGGGTTGATTTTTGGCAAATAAAGTATGAGAAATAAAGCATGAAACACATACCACATGAATACAAAGATTTACATGGTTCACCCCAGAAAGGCTATGTCCACGAGCACGGCAAACTGAAATCCACTATACCCAAAAAAGTTACATCAAAGATTTTGGAACAAACCTCGACAAAAACACAGTTGAGCAAACCCTTTTAAACCCTCTCTCCCAAACGGCACCATTGTCGATTTCTCATCTCTATTCCATAACTAGACCACTGTCTAATCTCCCATCTGTATTCCATAATTAGACCACTGTCTAGGAATATAACTTTGAGAGCAAACGAAACTTGATCTCAATAAAAGTGAAACAACCTAAAATCTCTCTAGGAACCACTTCTCTACAAAAAATAAACGTCTTGGAAGTCTACAGGAGACATCATCACAAGGTTTTTCTCTATGGGACGCTCTCTTCTTTATAAGAGGAAACCTTACATCTTATGTACAAGAGGCTATGTCCCCCTCTTTCCTATATAGTGACCCAAATAGGGAACACAATTTTTCTACACTTTCATAGTTTCCATAGATGTTACATATATCTCAAAAGACGAAAAGATATATCCATCCAAAAGTCCTAATCTTTTTGGATTTCTATTTCATTTAGTAAACTTATCAAATATGAATATAAATCTAACAGGAAATATCTTAATCCTACATAATATGGGAATTATCTCAATCCCACGGTAATTATCTCAATTCCATGGGAATATCTCAATCCCACAAATAACTCAATCCAACTTAATATGGGAATATCTCAATCCCACAGCGATTTGGTTATGTGTGTGATCCCACGTAATATAAAAATATCTCAATTCGAAAATATCTCAATCCAACCTAATATTGAAATATCTCAATCCCACATCATATAAGATTTGGTTATGCATGTGATTTTCAATAACACTAAATCCAATAGATGATTTCCGGGGTATCAATCAATAAAACTTCGAAAATGTAGCCAACTTAGCATATCCATATGGCAGTTTCCGATAAGGGATGACAACTTGCCACAAACAACTAAAATCTTGCAAAAGACAAGATGAGACGACGCATGGCGTGGAACCCCATCAATCTAATAAAAACTTTGTCCACATCTTTTACACAAATGCGGTTCTAAAGTGATGGACACAAATGAGTTATGGTAGTATCCTCGCGCAAGTGGAGAAATATCATTTTACAAATTCGAGAATGGCCATTACTGTGCAAGATATGGCTCTGATGAAAGTTAATTAGAAGTCCACATACGTGGTTATTTGTCTAGTTTCATGCCTCTTTCCTGCCACTTTCTTAGCATAAATAAGATTGCTCTGAGCTGTTTATTTTAATGAGTACATGAAGGGCATAACAATGTTGCTTGTTGCTGACAAGGATAAACTCCATGTAAGTAATTACTAGTTTCTCATTTATTGAAAATCAATAAATAAACAAAAATATTTATGCTTCTTTTGCTAGCCATATCCAATCCTTTACTTTAGCTGTCTATGGAGAACCATGAGAAGCTCTTTAATGGTCCTAATCAATTGGAACATCATTCACATTTGTGTTGAAGGTGATAAAAGATGATTTTTTGTTTCATCGACAATCATGGAGAGAGAGTGCAATGTTATTTTACACATTTGATGAGAACCACCATTCATTACTAACCCACCACTTGATATTATGGTGACTATAGAAAACTTCTCCCAGGTTTGAAACCAGGGGTCGTAACACGCCCGGTGGCGTGGCCGTTGCCGTTGCCACCGCATTTGAAACCTACTTAACACCTTCTCCAATGCCAAGCGCTTGAATTTTCTTTTCAAATTAAATTTGAATAACTGTTCTTCTCGATACAGGGAAGAATAACAAATCCACCACGACCCCTCAATCAAACAATCTGGTAGCCATTTCTCAGGCCAAACTCTAATCCCATCCCCAGTACATTTACAAACCAAGTATGCCACCCATTCCACCTAAACCTTATCAAATTCAGGCCAATGCCATACAATTCCCAAGCCTATCAAATTACAGCCATAATCGCTCATATTCCAGTCATCAAAGCCCCAAACATCAAAGCCCCGCATTAAAAGCAACCTGAGTTGTTGACAACCACTCTGCCCCCTGTAGAAATGACCCCACGGTAAACCGAGATGCGTCGTTCGGGCTCAAAGCCTTCTGATAACCCACCCAATTAACCCTTCCAGTCACATTTGAACCTGCACCGGTGTTCAAATACTCGCCATAAAAAATTGTCTCAGGAGCAGAGTCACCAACCCAGGGCAACCAACCAGCCGGATTAAGAAACGCACCAATAACTGACTTCATAACAACTGTTGTCGAATACGGCTTCCAAGGCCGACCAAGAAATGTCGGAGCAGTTAGACTTGTCTCTGCAGTGAGTTGACACCCTTGGATTGAGATCCCGGAGTTTTGTTCAGGATCTGTCTTGCCTTGCGCTGTTATTGTATTTTTCTGATTGTCAAGGGGTTGCCTGGATTGGATCTCACAGTTCTGGAACACGACCGCCGAATTGCCGAAGATGAAGTCGACAGTGCCAGAGATGAAACATTCTCTGTAAAACTGGCGTTGGGAGTGGGCATAGAGAGTGTCCTGGAAACCAATGAATTTGCATCGAAGGAAAGCGGAGCGGTCCGAACCGACTCGAATGGCTACAGCCTGGTGCTTCTGGGGGCCAGCTGTGTTCTCGAACCCCATGTCTTGAGCAATGAATCCACGCCCAACCGCAGCTGCAAGAAAATTTAAGAAGATGAGTTCCATCGCCCAAAAGATTCGAGAGGTTTTGCTGAATATTAATATTTGGGGGCTAGTAAATAGAGGGAAATAATTATTACAAAAAATAAAAAGTAAAAAATAAAAAAAAATAAAAAAAAAAGGTAAGAGAGACACCGTGGGGAAGTTAGTATCTTTGTGTGGAGATATGTAATGATACTTGCAACATACTGAACATGTGTTACATCTAACATCAGCCGTCCATTGTCACTAACGATGCGGCTTGCTCATCGCTCAAGCCCACTATTACAGCCTAATAATAGCCGTGCCTTGCTCAAATGGATAACTGCTGCACTGATGCTTCTTGTAGCATACTGTACAGTATTGCACAGGTATTACAGAACGCAAACAGGTTAGTGAGTGAAGATGCGTTAACCTTAAGAAGCTCAGGATTTGGACAATGCCAAAGGTGATTATCCATTTGTAGAGTTTCAAGTTTGTCCATCTCAGCCAGCAAACCCGCCTTTGCCAAAATCAGACGCTTGATGCCAAATGGATATTTTGCACAATTTTTATCATTCAAATTATTAGTTTTATATTTTATTCATGTGTATCTCACTAAGGCGTACACACCTGGAAAATTTCATATCATTATGATTTGTAAAAAAAATTATTTAAATTCAAACACTATCAGGCATACCATGTGATAAATCCGTAGATGAAATACGGTAGAACTTCATCTCTAGGCGTTTTGTAGTGTTTTCCATATATACATATCAATCTGAGCCGTTGAGTTCATATGTTCATATGAGTTAGTGCGTTAATCTCAATATTTTATATATTACTAATAATTTTTTTATTTTTTTGTATTTCTTTGAAATTTTTTTAATATCCCCAAATCTTACCACCCAATTCGAGGAAACTTAAACTTGCAAGGGTGGCAAGTCCAAGTTGGCTAAACACTAATTTGGAAAGACCACCAAATTCTATTGACCAAAGTTCATTGCCCGGATGTTACCAACGCCGAACCCACAGTAATTAATGTCAAAAAAGAGGTTAAATTTCTCATAATATCACTGTAGGGTAAGAAAAAGGAACAAATTATATTTGAGAGTGTGCTTCTAAGTTTTTAGATCAATCATATTTCAAAAAAATATTGAAAATTTTTCAAATCTTCCTTGTTAGGTATATTAAAGGTGGCATATTCAGGGGTATTTTTTGTTATTTGACACTAGCAACATATCGTTTTTGAGGCTTTCCAAAATCAGAATCACAAAAAAAAGATAAAATCATGCTGAGTAGATTTTGAGGATTCTAAAGATTAGTATCACTCACCTACCGATTCTAAGCCAGCATGATCAACTTTGAGTCGGTGTGACGATTTTAAGCCACTGATTGAGTAGATGGACAACAAATACAAGCACAAGCAGGATGCCTGCGTTCTGATCTGCCTTTCTCAATCCTAAGCCAAGCTTTAATTTCTCTTACATATAAACGCAATGTAAATTTCTTGGTGGCAATAAGTTCGATTGCTCTTGACATATATAAATAAATAAAAATAAATAATAAAAAATAAAAAACAAAATTTGCTCTTTTAGACAAGGAAAACATAAACCTAATAAATTTAGAGTTGTACACCTTGACCAAACTAGAAGAGCATACATGCTATACACGCTACATATAATGTCGTAGTTGTCACTCCAGGCTAATCTACATGGTGAAATGTTAGACCGGGTAGCTCGAAAAGTATACAAAAGGACTATTTAATTTTGCGGTAAGGAGGTCACAAACACTCCGGTCCTAATTGTCGCCCCAAGCGAATTTACCGAGTGAAATGTTAGACTAGGTAGATCAAAAAGTATACAAAGGGACTATTTAATGTTGCAGTAAGGAGGTCACAAACACTCTTGTCCATCAATTTTCAAATCAGATGGATATAAGAGTGTCAATAATCAAAAAAGATTTTTCAAACTTGTGATGCACTCCAAACCATCTAATTTGACATCTAATGGCTAAAAGTAAATATCACCACCTTGTAACAAAGATCAATAGTCTCGTCGTATACAATCCCGAATCCTAAAGTCTATGGAAGATTGAAAGATATCCTAGACAAAATAGAGCACCATAGTCTTTTGCCCAATCTATACTACTCAACTCATAAGGCGAATTCTTCATTGGACCTTTGCTACTATGTACCCCTATGGAAAATAATACACTTCTAGGCGAAACAACACTTAAAGCGACCTCAAACTTGGGTACTTCAATAAATACTTTCCCTTTGGCATTAATATATAGACAACAAAACATATGCTCACATTGGGAAATCATATACTATACCGTAAGGTACACCCGCAATATTCACTTTATGTGATCATATATACGGTAGAGATTCATTATTGGTCCCATAAAACATTTTTATAGGTGTGTTTGGCTCTTGGAAAATCTGTCCGAGAGAGATTTTTTTTTTTTTTTGGTCAGATACCCTTTTATTATGATAACTATTCTTGTGAGTTTTAGATTTTCGAGAATCAAAACTAATTTTTTTTTAAAATGTAAATCCATCTAAATTTCATTAATATCAATAGGAAAATTGTTTCATGCTTATGGAGACGCATTTCTACCTTTGCACCCCTTAGGTATAAATCATCTATCTTAAAGATGGATACAAATGGGTGGTTCATCTAAAAACAATAAAAACTAACTGTTCAAATGATTTTTTCACATAATTATAATTTTAAAATTTATTTATTTTTCATATTCATGATCTCCATGTTAGAGATTATATGTCTTTAAAAATTGAGTCCAAAAACCTCATCTCAAAAATTATATTTTTAAGAGGGGACTCATTTCTACGTGGACTAATAGAAACCTTGTTCATATCAATAACTCAAAGAAAAATATCTCCATATTTTCAATAATTTTTACAACAACAAATCCCAATTTCAAAAAAAAAAAAAGAACAAAAACACGAGAAAAAATCCCAGATTCAAAACTCAAAACCATACGCAAACTTTTTTGGCTTTGATTCCTTATGCCGAAAAAGACAAAAATTACCCAAACTTCGGCCAAGCCTAACTAAATAATGATCTTCCGAGATTTCGAGACAAACTTACCGAAAGTTGCGGTTGAAAAAGTCGGCGTTCCATCAACGAAATTCCGGCTCCCCGAAACAACGGTGACATCCTTTCCGTCGCCGATCAGCATAATGTTCCACTTGCTCTTGTCCACTACCACGTTCTCAAGATAGCGCCCCTTCTTCACGTATATTACGAACCTGCCCTCATTCTTTTTGGGCACCGAGTCAATGGCCGACTGAATCGTCGTAAATTTTCCCGATCCGTCCTGTGCCACGACGGCATCGGCAGAAGAACGCGGGTCCGTACCCTGCAAAAACCGGCGATCTTTTGCCGATATCCACTCTGGAAAATCGCCAGGTACTTTGTTGTTGGCCGCAAGGTCGCCGGAAAAAGAGTTTTCAGATGGAAACTCGCCGGAAAAGTCCAACAAGCGGCGGTTGTTGACGGGAGAATTGCCTGAGAAACCTAAAAGGCGTCGCCGATGAAGCTGGAAACCTAACGAGCTCACTATGTCCATGATTTTCCCGGCTATCGCGAGACTGTTGCTTGTGAACTCGGTCGCGTTCTTCAGAGAGGCCTGAAGCTGATGAAGATAGGGGCCTGATACGTTTTCGAAGCCATCAAAGCAAGTTTCTTGATCTGTAATGGCGGCGCTTAACCATGTCCTCAGATCCTCCACTTTTCCTGCGAGTTTCAGGTGGCCTGAATCATCAACCATAGCTGATAACGAGTTGTTCAATTGATCAATGGCGTCAGCAATGAGCTCTGAGCAATCTTTAATGGCCGCCAATGCTCGTTTATCATTGACCTTTTCCCCTAATTTTGCAGGAATTGTGGAAGCCTTTTCGAGCTCATTCATGGAGACCTTCAAAGAGAGCTTGAAGATGTCTTCTGGATCAATCTGGTTAGGATCCGCAGCTTGTGACAAGCTCGAGAAGCAAGAAGTAGGGTTTTTGGTCACTGAACAGACGGCCTTTATCGACTTTGCTGTTGCCGGCAAATTTTCCGCCCGGGCATTTTGGCCATTTTGGCCCTGCTTTCTAGAAACCCCGATAATCGCCGCAACTATAATGACTATTAGTACCACCGAGGAAAGGGCGATTATGGCGATCCTTTTCCTGGTTTTCCTTTGATATTGGCGCTTCGCTTCGAGATCCTCGTTCACCTTGCCGTAGCCTTTGAATGAGTTGATTCCCCCCTTGAACGAGTTTACCGCCCCCTTAAACGAATTCATCGCCGATTAATTGGGCTTCCAGATACTTGTTTTAGCGAGTAAGAGAGGAGCTCTGGAACACTATATATAGGACATGGAGTTACGATATTAGACTTAAATTTTGCGAATATTTCTAGCGAGCTCTTTATCACGGCCACTTGTTCCTTGAAGCGCGTTCATTGCTACAATGTCAGCGTGGTTTGTAAATTTCGAAAGTACCCATAGGATTTGTCTTAGGGCAAGTCCCCTCGGACCTTAATAAATAAAGTTGAAACCTTAAACAATCATATTAAAGCACACCTCCAAATCTTGCTATGAGATGTATTTTGATGTGAAAAATTTTTAGATTGGTGTAAGTATCTTTTTTTATTTCTATTTATAAATTTAAATTTTAAAAATAGTTCAAACCATACAGATCTATAAACGTATGAAAATCTCGAAAATGGATGGTCAAGATAATGTGTACAAGAAGTATTATATTTAAGATTTTAAATTATTATTTCCCCGTATCTATACATCTATACATTGAGATGATCAATGAGATGTTTTTTCAAAAAAAAAAAAGTATTTTTTTCAAAGGATTTTAGATATACACCTTAATTCTACATTGTATAAACTTTTTCCATGGTTGTTTTGAACGTTTTAGGGAATTTTCATAATTTGAACCAATTACTAAGAGTAGGAAATTTTTTGTACAACCCATTATTATTTTTTTCAGTTTAAGGCGAGGAGATCTTGAATCAAACGATAGACAAATGTCATTAAATAGTTGATGTCAATGGAGGTCCGCCAGCACACTTTTCGCCTTCAATATACATTTAAAAATAATTTTTTTGGTGAAATTTTAAAAGTAATATTACTTGTTAAAATACTGTGTGATCCCGCGCAAGCGTATCTTTGATTCACTCCCTAGGGAATACATTACTGAACGATTATCTCTAGGACAAATTACGGGCATGCACCTCCACAACCTAGAGACCAAAATTTCATGTGCCTTATATAATTATCCCTAAAAGAACAAAGTAGTTATTGGACAATCTATTGTTTTAAAATCTGGATCGATGAAATGGGACATCCATCCAATATATGGTTCATAAAGTTGGATCACTGTTCTAAGTGGATTTGGCTCGGCCCAAATTAGTTATTCTCAAAAATATTTAAAAACAAAAAATAACATAACAATTTATTTTGGGGGATTTCGGGACCTAAAAAAATATAAGATAACCTTAATATATATGAAAGTGGAGATTTTAGGGATGGACCGTGCCAATATCAGTACCTTCTTAGAACTGGTTCTATTTGACCGATTCTCAGTTTGGTTCGACAATTCCCAATTCAGATCCCCGTGTTTTAAAACACTAGGACAAACAAAAAATCACAATGTCAAAATTCAATTTTTTATATGAAAATATTCTAATGATCCTATGGTGAATTCCAAAATTTAAGAGGTAGAAAATCATCTAAAGCATGTTTTTACATGAAGGAATAAATAACACTAACGATGAGTCAAGAGGGACTCCTCCCGTCGAAGAATTTTGGAAAACGCCATTTCCCTCAGCTTCTACATCAATAAAAATAAGAAATGAATACCCAAATACTCATCATATTGAGAGAGACTTGGGATTATTTTGTATTTTAATGGCGTTATTGTAGTAAGGAGACATTTGGAGAACGTTTGGGACCAGAGATGACTTTGCGTTTGATGTGATTCGTTTTGAGACACGCTTTCGTGGTTTTACCACTTTGACTCGTTTTAAAATAAGGTATAACCGCGTTTTATCACTGATTCAGTCCTCCGCTTTTTTAGGCCCATAAGTCATTCATCATACCATGTGCTACCGCTTTTAATATGTTTAAGGTTTGGTGAGGTTTGTATAAAGTGCGACCTTATAATATTCAAAATTTTGTAAAAGATGCAGTTTTGGTATAAGAAACCTTATAATCGCTTTAAAATCTATGTTCAATCCTAATTATAGAATTCAAACTTTTAAAAATAGTGCAGAACTAGTAGATCTCTAAACAGTTAAAAATCTTGGAAATAAACAGTCGGTATATATGGCTACAAGATGCATTATTTTTATCTCTGAAATTATTTTATTTTCATATCCCTATATCTCGAGGTTGAGATGAGTAATTGAAAGGCTTTCCAACTCCGAAACACTGTTATCTATTGGATTTTTGTGGTGCACCATATGTCAATAGTATAAAGTTGTGATCTTATACAAACTTTTTCCTGTAATATTTTGTTTCTTACTTTATTTAATTTGTTAATTCTAAATATTTGATGCTTTATTAATAAAAGAGAAAATTACTTATGGATACTATTGGGGGAGTCAATTCCCTTTGGTATCTTATTTGCCGGAAATTACAAGCATCACCCCAGCAGCTTTATTTATTTTCGTAAATTGCTCCCTGTCCAGGAATGCAAACATCACAAGCACTATTTTTTTTTTTCTTAATTCTTTGTTGTCTGGTGTTCAAAATACCGAACAGCTATTTAAAATCCCCAAGACCCTCTAGTTGGGAGTAGTGAGGCAGGGGTTGGTAGCTTCGGGGTCAAATGTTTTTGCTCGTGAAATCCCCATATGCCATGGAACGCAAAGCTCGAGCAAGTTTCCAGCAATCTAAGATTTGGATTGCCCGAAAGTATGAATCACCTAAGTAATTGGATTTCATGAAATTACTGTTACTCATATGCGATGCTTTCCTATATGCCATGGGAATCACCTATAACAATTTTTTTTTATATCTGTGTTCAAAAACGGACTTTTCAAATTTGTTCATATCTGTGTTTATTGTAGTTCTGCTCATATGAGAAGTGAAAATCAGATATTTTATTTGGGGAAAAAAAATGAAGGGATAATAAGAAAACATAGAGTCATAACATTTTAAATTCACGCCCACGGGGTTAGGTCCAGTTTCTTCAATTTCTCGAATATAAAGAAATTTTGTTCATATCTGTGTTTCAAGAAATTACTGTTACCCATAAGCCATAAGAATCACCTGTAACAAATATTAGTATGGGCCTTGCACACATCATCGACAATTTAAACCCTCATACGCCATGAGAACGAAAGTTACCCTGCCACCCCAAGATTTGGGGAGAGAGAGAAGAAAGACTGAAGAGGTGGAAGTCACAGAAAAACAGGAGAGAGGGCCATCAATTAAAAAATAGCCCGTCTCCTTGTTGGGTGTTTGAATTGTGAGAGAGGATGGCAATTTAGAAAAAAAAAAGGAAAACATCATGCTGGAAAGGGATGGTATTTCTAATTTGCTCTTAATAAAATTTGATTCTGAAATTTCTCATCAAATCCAGCATCGAATTCTAAATTTGATTCCTTTGAGTCATTTAGGGGATTTGGAATGAAGTTCGCTAAGCTTTTTTTAATTAGCTAGTGTTCTCAATTGGAACATATCAAGAGAAATTTTGCCCAAACCTTCAAGAATTGAGGTCAAAATTATTTATTACTATTAAAGGTCAAATCTGATAGTTTGGATGTGAAAGTTCGAGAAATCTTCCTTTTTGAACTTTGAATTTGGTCAATAAAATAAATGCAACCACCCATTTTCACATTCAATTATCAAGATTAATTATAACCACCTTGTACCAAAAGTAAAGGGTCTTATTATATAGTCTCCCTCTTTAGAATTCGAAACCTAGCATCTATTAATCAGAGGAGTTCAAATATAAGTATCAAAATTTAAAGGGTGAAGTTTGTATAAGGTGCACACTTTATAATACACACGTAAAATGCATGTCTAAATTTTGATGGTAATTATGAAATTTGAAAATGTAAAAAAGTGTAGATCGAGTAGCTCTATAAAAATTTGTAAATATTGAAATTGAGGGTCTGTTACAAGATGTATTATTTTTAAAACTTAACATTTTATTTTTATATACCTACATCTCAAAGTCAAGATAATCAATTGGTATGTTTTCTGACTTTAAAATACTTTTTTCTATCGAATTTTTTATATACATTTTACTTCTATAATAGAAAGTTGCAATCTTATATAAACCTTTTTCAAATATAAAAAATCATCAAACGACTTAAATTTCTCTAGCTAGCATGAAACATGACCCAATCCTATAAAACCCCACAGTCACTCAGGTTACCAATTTTATTTTTTTAGTATTTTTTATTATATTCATGATTTTAATTTTGGAATCAAGTCCCCTGGTGATCTAGTGCCCCATCCTTTATAGGGATGTAAATGGGTCAAATTCGGACTGGGTCAACCCTGACCTAGACCTAATAGCATCCAAGCTTGACCAAGTCTCAAAGACTAGCCAAGTTTCGTCAAGATCAAGTAGATCTAGACCCAACCGCCCGGGCCATTGCCTCTGGCCAGACCCGGACCCAATCAAACCAGATCGTTTCCTCCCTCTCATCTTATACTTTAAAGGCACTGATAAGAACCGATATAACCCTTGATTTGGTTTTATTATAGAGGAAGTTTGGTCATGCACAAAAAGCAAAATATATTGATATACGGTGTGGTGTTATGACCAGCCCGCAAAAGACAGAGCACGAAATTTCGAGTGAGAAGGCGCCGCAGTTAATATTATTTTCTGATGCTACTATACCACTACTACTTCTAGGGCGCGCCGTGATGAGAACGCGCTTACTCCCATAAAATAAACCGGGTGCGAAGGTACCGCGTCGCCACCGTAAAATAGACAAATTGTGGATCCCACTAACATGTTTCTCTTACACCGTAAAACTTACATACTTCCCCTTATAGAACCTCCAATTTTCAATGGAGGGTTAAATTGTCCCAATCACAATGCTATGTTTTTATATTATTTTATTTTTAAATTTTTTTTACAAATTATTTTAACACCAAATTTTAGATGTCTAATCCTCTTTTAAACTTGCACTAGTGAAAAATATAAAAAAAATATTTTTAATAAAATAAAATGACTAAAATACCCCTGAAAGATTCAAAAGGTATTTTAGTTATTATATTTTATCAAAAATTATTTTTAATATTTTTTATAGGTACGCCCCAATGAGAAGATGGCACGTACCAAATTTCATATTCATACAATTTTTATAAAAAAAAAACTATAAATAAAATACTTTGAGA